TTTTTTTTTAATTTTATAAACTTTATTTAATAATAAGGCAATAAAATAATTTACTTTATAGCAGACAATAAAGTCTATTATAAAACAAACTGCCTTTTATAACGTATAATTTATTAAAATAGTCCTTTTTCAATAAAAATTCATAAAATTAATGAATAAATTATTCATTTATTTATTTATTACTAAAATTTTTTGGTAATTCTTTTATACTATAGAATTACCTTCCCTCTACATTATGTCCCCCCCAAAAAATTAAAATAAATAAACAAAAAATTAACAATAGAAGATTAAAGTATATAAACATTTCTCGTAAATTTACTTATGTTAAACAAGAAAATAAAATAAGCAAATAATAAAATTCTTAATAGAATTTAAACCATCAATAATAAAAATTAGAATAAATAAATAAATAAATAAATGATAAAATTAAATGTAAATTTTTGTTACTTTTTTAAATTAAATTTTAAGTAAAATACGCGCTTATAAAAGACAATAAAAATTAATAAAATCATATAAATTAAATTATAAAATTGTTAAATTTATTATTTTTTTTTATTATTGGTAAAATATTCTTCGAATCAAAGTAGTCATTGAATAAAATATTTTTATATATCAACAGTAATGAATGAGATAAAAAAAAATAGAAAAACACCATTTTTTCCAGGTGAATTCCCATAATAGTTAATGTATTATTAATTACACACACACATATATATATGTATAAGCTATAAATATTGAATTAATAATAAGATAAAAGCTAGTTAATATACAAAGCATATAAAGCACGAGCTCCCTCTATATGAAGTGACGTCACATAGAGGAAACATCGCAACATTTCCAAGTGCAGCCAGCTTAGATAAAGTAAAGCAAAGCTGCCAGTCAAGTTAACATCTACAATTATCAGGTAAGTTTATAAAAAATATAAACTCTTCTGTTTTAAATAAAATAAAAAATTCATGTACATGTATTATTAGCTATTATAATCAAATAAAAATTCTACACTATTTTAAACCCTCCCCTCCCCATCTTTTAAAATATTTCGTGCAATTTTTTTTTATCGCTATAATATATAAGGACGTTACAATTTTTACGTTCCTTTTGGACATTAAATTAATCTTTAGATATATATATTTTTTTAAATATTAAATAATAAATATCTTGTAGAAGGTTTTTTTTTTATTTCCCCCTTTCCTTTTTCCTTTAACTGTCTCTTTTATGTGATATGTCAATAAATACAGTTCTATCCGGAGGATACGATTTATGTTTGGAAGAATTTTATTTATTTATTTTTTTTTTCGTCTACAGTACGAAAACATGTAATGAAATTTTTAAATTTTAATTTAGATTTTCTTTAAATTTATTAAAAAAATTTTTTTCTAACTTTTTAGTAGAAAAATTAATAAATGTTATCGTCAAAAAGTGTACTTTACTTTATGTTCTTCTGTAACGAATTAAATGTATCTTGTAGGAGCATGAAAAGATGTTTTGTTTTCTTAAATAAATTAATACTATTTATTAGCTGTTGTAACTAAATTTTAAGAGGGTAACCCATTAGAAAATCTTTTTTTTTTTTTACTTCCAGAAAGTCTCTAAAAAGCTAAAGAAATAAGCATCGAGCGACTTGTTGAATTTATTGATCGTTGCAAGATCTTAGCATTAAAAGTCATAAAATGACTATATAGATTTGTTTAATATTTAAATAAACGTGTGTTATATTTTTTTTAAAGATTAAAAATTATCCATTAATAAATCGATAAGCTCCCATAATAATTTTTTTTTTAATTTAATTTTTACGCCGTTTAATATTCAGCGAAAATTTCTTGTTTATTATATAAATCTCTCGTTTCTTTCTTAAAAACTAAAAATAAAATCGTATATACACCTTTACATTTATGTGTGTATAGAACGTAATTTACATTCATTTTAGAGCTTAAGTTACAATATATGAGACAATTACCCCTTATCAAATAATAAAGCTTCGCATGTATAGTTTATAATGTTTAAAAATTATGTAAAATTTANATATATATATATATTTAAAGCCATTCTTATTACATTAATCTCTATATAACAGCGATTTATTAAGGGAATAATAAATATTTAATAATAAAAAGTAAACATTTCAATTGTTATAAAAGAAAATATCAAGAAATCTGCCTATCTTTTTATAATATTTTAATATTACATAATACAAATTTCAGAGAAATTTTTACGTATAAATTTAATACAAATTTCACAGAATTTTTTTTCTCAGCTGAATCAATATTTTTATGTTGATTCAGCTAACGAAAAATCTGCTTAATATTTTAATTATGTTATTTTATGATGAAAACTTATAATTTATTATCTGATATAAGTATAAAATTTATATTTATTTATATAATTATATATTTCAAATTAAAGTAGAAATATTCAAATTTATTAATTAAATTGAAGAATAAGTATGTATTTATTGTAAATATTTCCACAAAGAAAACGTAAATTTTTAAATTATTTATATATAAAATTTTAAGCATTTAAAACATTTTTCGTTTACTTTAAATTGTGCTTGAAGTAAACAGAAAAATGGAACCTTAAATAGAAGAAATATAATATATAAAAATATAAAGTTTCGATAATATAGTTTAATTGGGATAATATTATATAAGAGTAATAAAATAAACTTAACTTTTTTCCAATGACAAGACAGTTCTTTCAGTTGGTTAAATCCTTCGGTTCTTTCTTTTTAGGATCAATAACAACACCAAATGGTATTCTATGATATCTGCAACTGAAGGAGAATAGTTGTAGCAGAAAATTTCTTGTTTAGATAAGACAATGTAACCTTTTTTTGGTCACTTCTGTAATTGAAACAAAGCTGGCCACACTTACATAAAATACAATTTCTATTTCCATATATGTTCTTTTAAAAATTCGCCTAGTTGTCGACCTTTAAATCATAAAAATGAACGAAAAAGTTTGTTTTTGTGTTTAAACAATGTAAGTATTTTATTTTTAAATATAGCCATAGATTATTTATAACACAAACCTTAAATACAATCTGAAATTAGCTAATTGTGTAGAGCCCTAATATGACAGGAACCCGTAAAAAATTTGTAAATTAAATAAATAAAATTTAAAGTGTATAATATGTCGCATGATTATACTAACATTACGAGGGTCCAACGATAAGTTTAACAAGTGAATTTATTGATTCTTTTTTGAGTATTCGGATCGCAAGTTTTGCTTAGGGCCAATTTAATTGGCATACCTATATGAATACTACTAAATACCAATTACGGCTAATCAGAAGAGACCCTGAAGAACATTTGTAACAAGTTACTTAGTTCACGTAATACTTCTGTATTAAAAACAATAATAAAAAAATATTATTTTTGTCATATTTTTTAATACAAGTAATACAATTTTTAATGCTATTTTATTTATTTTTTGTTAATTGGAATCATGTTGTGTTTTATATTAGCAAATAAATTATAAAATAAACTTTATCACAATTAATTACTTACATTTTTTTTTTAAAGCAATTACAATTTGACATCAATAGATACTTTTATTATTGCTTTCATAATTCTATTATTTACTTTTTCTCTTTCATTACTTAGTAACAATTCTTCAAATGATCTTAGAAAGATAGAGTTTTTTTATCCATAATTTTTCAATAAGATGGCGACGTTTAAGTCATTCTATGTCAGTTTTATGATGCTCTATTTGAATTATTAATTCAATTATTTTTAAACTTTATTACTCATTCATTATTATTATTTTGTTTTTATGCTTACAAATATAGTGCTTACTACATTCCTCTTCAGATTATCGAAATTATTTATCAATTTTGTCAATTGGAACTTTATTCCATATGTTTTAAGCAGAGCCTTAGGGTCCTGGTACCCCAGAAAAGCTGAATTTCGACATCTTTTTAAAGTATAGTAACTTATTTATTTATGTTTTATAGCAAGAAAAATGAATACTATATGCAGTAAATGTTCACATCAGAAATTTTCTTATTTTAACTGTGCCAACAAAAGACCGAGTGGATAAAACTAATGAAAACTTGCGGGTTCGTGTCTCAACGATCTGGCCGCATGGAGTTTTTTGGGTTTTATTCACATGGCTAATATCTACACAGAGCCAATTTCTCATAGAAAATTTACCTGGGAAGTATTCTCATCTTGCCTTGCCTTAGTATCTCTGACCCTACGTCAATTAATTCTATATCAATTCCATATTAAAAGAGAAAGTTGTAAATTTGGCATGAACTACATAATCATCTTGTTTAAAATTTTGATTATTCATTATTACAAAAGTATCACCGAATTAAAGAAGCAAATAAATAAAAGAATTATGAAAGCTGCAATAAAATTGTTTATTGATTTAATACCTAGTCTTTTTAATTGCCAATAAATATATGTTTAAGAATCGTACGTTGATCGTGAAGAAACTCTATTTAAAACTCTCATGGTGTTCGAGAGAAACTTCCAATACATTAATAAAATAAAATAGAGTCACTGTATAACACAATTCTTTATAGTTCTACATGTATTTATTGTATTACGAGATTCTTTTATGTTTTGTGTGTATATGTATATAAAATATAAAGATCCTATTGTATATCTAGGCTTGCGTTATAATATGTTGTTTATCAGTAATTTATAACCCAAATCGTTTCTATTACGAACCAAAACCCGCCCGAAATGGGCAAAATTAAGACCATCAATAGCTCACTGTCCATTGTGTTAATGCAACATCAAAATAATCCAATTTAATAAATAAAACAAATGATTTATCTATTGGTTTCTAAAGGAAAAAATGAAATAAACGACTTCGATTATAGAAAGAATTATTATATCATCATTTATGTAAGGAGATTTCGATATACTGTATAGGCTATATATTGTATAATCCAAAGTTACATATCATCAAAATTGTTTTCTAAATTGCTATAATATTAATAAAATATTAGATAAACATCTATCTATATTATTTAATAATCCTTACAAAAGTATGTGAACATATATGAGAGTCAAGTAACATTGTTAAAAGACTTTGACCTTTGTAGAAATCATTACGTAATATGTATTAAATTAAAAAAGTTATCAGAGGTATACTTATATCTTCAATAAATTGTACATTATAAAATATTTACATATTTTTATTTAAAAGTATAATATATATATTCAGTTCTAGTGTTGCCAGCAAATTATCTCCTCTAGGTTTTCCGGTCTGTTTCTTCATTTTAGGTCCTTGTAACTCATTATATATATCTTTACTAGATTTTATATACCTTAAAAGATATTGTTTTATTTGGAATAGATATAGAGGGCAGGTTATACTAACCTGAGAATCCACTAGACTAACCTGCATACCAATCCGCACAGGCTAACCAACACATACTATAACACAAGCGTAGATAATACTTGGTGGGTATGCCAGCCGGATGGCCGATGTGGTTACTTCGTCAGTCTATCGCTCTGAGGGACCCGGACAGAATCAACGCAGTAAAACCTTCAGGAATTTTTCGAGGATGTGTCTCAGATATGTTGAGCCCCGTCCCACTCGGCTTCTTCTTTATAGGTCTGGTCGAACTCACAATAGACCTGAAAAAAAACCCTCTTAATATCTATAAGTGAGAAAAACTCTTGGGTGAAAACGAAGATTTTTAATTATTAATGAACATGATGGCTATTTTTATTATGACGTTCAGTATTTATAGTACAAAACGTTTAAAACACATTTTATGCGACAAGTGTTGATAGCAAGGATTGCGTAAAATAAAGCCGAATATTGTACATAATAATTTATAAGCTATCACAGATAACACAAACACGTATAAACTCATAAATATATATCAGTTTATATGTACTGTACATATATATATAGAATAAAATAAAATAAAAGTAAAAAGAAAAAGAAAAAAAAAAAATAAAAACTTTCAGAATAAATATTTCTATTATTAGTTTTTCTTTTTACAAATCTCTATCTATTTTTAAAAATCATTCTGTCTTTCAAGATAAACAATTTAAAAGTAAAACGTTTATTGAAAGGAATAAGGAGACATTATATCTTAAAATGATTTTATGTTGGATATTGGTATTGGGATTTTTTTCATATCCCAAAAGACAAAACAATTTTACCATTAAAAGTGTTCTTGTAGATAAAATTCAAGCTATTTCTCAATGTTTCGAACGATAAATGTAATCGTTCGTGTAATTTGCTGTAGAAATAAAGTTTTATCAGTCACCTTAATTATAATGTATCCTTTATACAGCTTCAGCATCTTAGCAATACCGGAAAATAAGTTTAAATCGAAAAAGATTAGTTACTGAAACATATTTGGTTCTATTGAGCTATGAAACATATCTTGATGTTTCTTCTTCTACTCTGTCTACTTCTTGTATTATATAAAACATAAAAAAAAATAATCGAAAAATAAAAATTCTTTCGTTAGAATCATAGCCTTTAGCGTATTTACTTGCTTAACTGAATTTTATTAGTATCGAGTAGAGCAGCCTCACAACTTAGCAGATAGGAATCTTGGAAAAATCAATGAACTTTTTAGGAATCTTCGAATTTGTTCCTCATCATAAAGTGTTCCTAATGATAAAAGTTTAAAAAGAATTTATATATAACCAGAAATTTCATGTGTTTCGAATAGATTTTATCTGTTAAATAAATAAACATTTATTTCATCTCATTAAACGTGAATTAATATATCAAAAAGAATAGTTAATTTTATTTTCTTAATTATAATTTAAAGAAATAAAAATAAAATCACTAATTAATTGAATTAAAATTTCTTATTTTTAAAGTTAATTAAATATACTTTTTTTTTTAAATTAAAAATGCCGCGAGATTTCATAATTTATGGTGAAACTTCGATTTAGCGCTTCTTAAAATGGCACTAAATTAAGTGAAGTATCTTTACTTGTGTGTTCAGTGACTTTATTTGATAATAATAATATTATTTGATAATTTACAAATATTGAAAGGTTCTAAAATAAATGACCCAGAGCAGTATAGGAGCGCGGGAGAGAATTCATATAATTACAGTCTAGAAAAATCACTTTATATAATTTTAAACGAATAAAGAAAGGGGGGAAAGGAATGTAATAAACCGAGAACGTCACGTCTGAAGAAAGGATAGAGGAATTGGATTGGATTAATGGAATAAGGCAGCTCAATACATGGGCTATCTGCGAAGGTGAATGCTTCCCGGGAGAATTTTTCACGGGAATCTCGCCCTATTTAGGTGTTAGATACGCGAAGAAAACACGGATAACTCCAAGTTGTCAGGCGCAAACCCGCGATCAGTGTTCAGTGGTTTCATCCACTCGGCCACTGGTGACAAAGGATCCTATCCACCAGGCTCCATGATAACTCTAAACGGCCCTGAAAGTTTTCTTTTTATTATTTATACGGAAGATTCGTTTACAAGTATCAATTCATCGGCGTTTTATGAGAAGGATGACGATATTTAGGATACTATATCGAGGTTTGAATTCATTCTAATGCTAGAAATGTATCATATGTATGTTTTAATTGTTTCTTAAATAAAGTTTTGTTTAAAACTACTTAGAATACCGCTATATCGAAGTTCGAAGTGTATCATTTTTTAATGATCAAAATCAGGTAATTTATCTTTTCGAGATATATATATATATATATTCATATATTTACATAGTACAGTACATTTTATATTACAATATATTTATATGTATTAGAAAAAAATATAAGTAAATAAATCATAGACATATTCCTAATCAGTCCTTTTCTTTATTGTGCAAATAGTTTTTATTTTTTTATTTTTTCATTTAGTTCCATTGGTTGCTGCAGCAGCAAAATATTTCTTAAAAGAATTCTTTCCAACAATTCTCTTAAGATAAGATAAATAAAAGTTTTGTTGCAGTTTTGAACAATTGTTCATAAATTGATTAATTTGATAAAAATATAATTCAATATTTTGTTATCAGAAAAGTTGAGTGTACATTAAAACTATGCTCTAAAGTATTTTCTTTCCTTTTTTTTAAAAAAAAATAATAAAATAAAATCAATTTTAAAATTCAATATTCATACATTATCCACAGTTTCAAAATATACTTTAACAAAAATTTAGATTTTATTTTTTATTTATAATTATATTTTTTAATTCCGTTTACATTTAGAAACAAAAATATATTTAAAAAGAAATTTGCTGTCAAGTAAATTTTCGAAAATAAATTTTAACAAAAAATAAATATTTAATAAACTGTTAAGAACTTTGCTTTAATATTAATTTAAGAATTTTATTTTATTTTATTATACGAGAAAAATAAATTTTTTTATAAGTAACGTTAATTTTTTTTTAAATATCGCCCCTAATTCTTATAATAAAAATACAGTCGACCCCCCTATAACACTGTTGATAATTCCGTTTTATATGAATTCCATGTTGTACGAGTCACTTAGATTTTACAAATACGTGAGCCGTTCACAGCCCGGCACACGTATTTGTAAAATTTAAGTGACTCGTACAACATGGAATTCTTATAAAATGGAATTATCAACAGTGTTATAGGGGGGTTGACTGTAGTTCAGTTTGGCAGGAAGGGGACGAGTGCTGCAACGCCACAGCTTTAGCCAGAAATTTAAATTTACCGACTGGAACACTTTCAGTTAACCGATGGTTTGGTTGATCGGTATTAGGATAATCAATGCTCTACTGTAAATTAAAAATTGCAACTTGGCATTGTGACAATGTACAATAAATAATTCCTCGTCTTCAGTTTATTTTTGTATTTGCATTTTGTANTTCTTTATGCACGAACCAAAAATAAATAACATTGCTGATTTATAGGTCACGAAAATGACCCTTTTATTTTAATTATAAAACTTTTTAACTTTAACAGTTGTTAGTTTGGATTCAAATTACGTTCATTTAGTTATAAATGATGTTCTGTTATTAAGGTTTGGCTTAAAATAGCGAAGTTACTCACAAGTCAGTCAGAAATAGCTGATATATTCTTTACACAATCAACTTTGGTAGCGCCAATTAATATTTATGGAGAATATCCGTTCATAAGAATTCATTTTTTCCATGAATATTAGAAAATCTTCAGTGTTTGTGAATATTAAACGTACGATTTTGCATTGCAAACGACATTGTTTAGCAAAATACGTAACTTTTAAGAACCAAATTCAAGTTTGTGTATAAATCTCATTAGTATATACAACTTTTAATGTTTGAAATATTGTAGAAGGGATCCTTGATGCTATTGCATTCCTAGTCTCTTTATGTTTTCTTCTGACACGACGCTCACAGTTTATCATATTTCTTTTACCTCTCTTTATGCGCTTGGAATTAAATAAACTAATTTCCTAGACTTTCTGTAATTAAAATCTTATTATACAGATTTCCAATTCGTATTTTTATACAGACCGAAGTCTCGGGGTTATAGATCTGGTTTCCCTTCCTAAGCCCTGGTACCACACTCGATTCAGTTCCAATTTCACAGGTGAACAAATTCTTTTTTTCTTTCATTCTCTTACATTTATATCTTATATTTAATTATCCTGAATAAATATCTTCTTTGGTTTTCCACCGACTAGTGGAGGAGTGGATAACACTATTGAATACTGGTAGTTGGTCGTGAGTTCGAACCTCACTAAAGAGCTAGCCGCGTGGAATTTTTCGGGTTTTCTTCACGTGTCTAACACCTAAATGGGGCCAGTTTCCCATAAAAAACTCCTCTCAGAGACACGTGTGTTGCGCTGCCTTAAACCATTAATTACTAAATCTTTAGTTTCTTCTCTCATGATCGAAATTCGAACGTACTGTACATACTGTACAGTACGTTTCATAGCAATATTTCAAAAATTATTCCTAATTCTTATGTATTTTTCATTGATAATATTTATAGCAACTCTCCTTCCTTTACATTTATATCCAATTCAGAATAATCTGGCTTTTCTTTAATTTTTTTTTCCTTTTATTATTGAGTTTATTGTACCTAAATACATGGGTTCTATTATCACATATATTCTATTTCAATCATTATCTGTAAATATTTCTTTTCCATTGAATCTCTTTCATCATTATCTAACATTTTCTCAATCTTTTCTTCATTCTCCTTCATTAAATTACTTTAATCTAATTGTAGAATATTGGAATTACTTTTTCATATTTTGTTAAATATGGTTTATAACTAATATCGTATANATAGAGTTAAAGTTTTCAATGAAAATGGTGTTTCTGTAAACCCGTTTTTCAAGGAAATGAGTTTACAGAAACACCAAAAGATATCCTGACATATGGTGAGAGATTTTATTATTTTGTCTATGTGGCTTTTAAATGTGAGCCTGTTATCCCAAATTATGCCAAGGTCATTAACCAAAGAAATGTATTTAATATTGCATGTGTTAATAGTGAGTGTAGGTTGAGGAATATTGCACAATAAAGAGTAGTTCATGATGATAGTTTTCTGTGGATTGATTTTTAAATTGGCTTTAGCAAGAAGAGTTGTAAGAAGATGCAGAGGTTATGGAAATGTATCAGGATCATAATTAATTAATTTGATATAATTTTGAATTATGTCACTGTGAAGAAAGTGAAAAATATAACAGGGAAAAGAAGCCGTGGAAAATCGATCGAATCGAAGAGAAACGTAAGATAAATTTGTTGTACTGCTAGCAAGTCACTTATAAGTAATGGAGGCTAGAAGCATAAAAGAACATACGCTGTTTGTAGATTTACAGAAAGAATAAGGAATTCCATTTGAAACTAGAAAGTCACTTAAATGAATTAAAAGAATTGATAGAAGAGAAAAATGTCCATGCTTAAGAATAAAAATAAAAATTGGCAAAATTGTAGAGGAGTTGAAATCAAAATAGTTTATTATTACCCAAATAAATCAGATTATATTATAGATATATAGCAACATCATCGAGTTGAATCAAAAATTAATAGTTTTAAATCAGAGCAATTCACGATCTCTTTACAGTGTCCTCCTAAATAACCTCGTAAAAACAATACATACTTATAGAAGAATATTCCCCATAAATATTAAATGTAAATTGCTAAATTTACGATTTCGCATGGAAAACGACATTGTTGTTACCAAATTGCTTAGCTATCAAACTTCCAAACTCCAACTTCTGATGATAATTCATTACTAAATATAATGCTTATTGTTTAACGTATTTCAGTTAAGCTCCATACTCGGTTTAGTGCCAATTTCATAGAGAAACAAATGGTGGTATTAAAACGAAGTTTGACTGTATATATAGCTATATATGTACGTGTGTTGCGTGCATATGCATAAGGAATATTCTCGATAATAAATTTTAATTAATAATATACAAATTTAAATGTTTCTTATAAACTTTCTTTCTTTATCTCGTAGAGTAAAACAAGAGAACTGAAAGTGTAACTTAATTAAGAAAACTTTAAGAGTAATTTTGATTCTTAAAATAGAGAAAAAAAAGAGGAAAGAGATTGGAAATTTTCAGTAATACAAAAAGGATTTTAAAAAAGGAATACAGAAGCACAAAATAATCGAAAAGTAATTTGAAAGAATAACATTTAAAAACTTAGAAAGAAATGAGAAAATTGATGAGTCAAATAGAGAAAACCTGCTAAATATTCTATAGTATAGACAATTTTAAATTCTATTTTAAAAAAAAATTAATTGAAAGATTATACAAAGTTTAAAATATTGAAAAGCAATTTAAATAACTTATAAAACTGAAACTATAAGAGAATTGTGTACGTTAATATATCTTCTATCGAAGGTAGATACAGTCGACCCCTATATAACACTGTTGATAATTCCGTTTTATATGAATTCCATGTTGTACGAGTCACTTAGATTTTACAAATACGTGAACCGTTCACAGCCCGGCATACGTATTTGTAAAATCTAAGTGACTCTTACAACATGGAATTCATATAAAACGGAATTATCAACAGTGTTATAGGGGGGGTCGACTGTATAGCAAGTGACAACAATCGAAAATAAAAATGATAAGAAATTAATTTTAATAATTGTTTCCATATAATTTTGATAATGCTTCGGTCTAAGAAAATCCAATGCGATTATTAGAAATGCGAAACTTTGAAATATATAAGAGTTGACGACGTGAAATTTAATATGATTCGCTTTGAGTTTTCTAACACATATTGAAAAATACAAAAATATCGATTTATTTAAAAACTTACAATTATTATTTATCAATAGTTTTATATCCTTATAATAATTTTAAAATATGATACCTTAAAATATAATATTTTACATCTTAAATTACACTGTTCAAAACAACTAGGAGTTAACAATAATAAAGGTTCAGGCTGTCATAGGAATTGATGGTTTTGTTTTATGTAAAACTAACGTTTAAATAAATAATACACTTTGATAAACTATTTACAATAACTTTAATAAAGTTGTTGTAAATAATCTCATGACAAAGTATTTTATTTCTAGTAGAATATGCGATATCTCGCAAGTGTTAAAGCAGGAACCCTTCTGATATGATTATCCAGGAATGTTTAGTGAATAACATTGCATCTAATTCCTTAATATTAAATCACATTTACAATATTAATTTTGCTTAGTGTGAATTTGATACAGCAATATACACTATAATTATTGTAAGTAATGTATTTTGAAACATTCTAACATATTATTTATTTTCTCCAGAATAGAACATGAATTTCTGGAATAATTTATGCGAATTTTTAATAATTTTTATATAGACCATTAGGTTTCAATCATAAGATTAAAGCCGCATATTTTTACAAATCACTTCACTATTAATCAATATAAAATATGTATAAAATAATTAAAGATAAGAGCCTTAAATTTTTTTTTTAATATTGCTTTTAATTGACGTACAAAAAGAAATGTTAAATCGTGTAAAAAATAGAAAGTGACAAAGATTATTTTAGATTTAAAATGATTACTCAGCGTGCTTATATTCTTTTTTTTTTTTAACTATGTGACAGATATTATATTAATGTATCTGATCGTAACTAAATTCAATATAAATGCAGTGTCATTAACTTAACACATTAGCTTCAAGGTTAAACTCGCTATCTTTTAGTGCTGACGATTATTATCGGTTCAAATCGTGTTCTAACATTCAATATTGTTATTATTATCTAAAGACAAACATTGTTTATTATAAGTATAATAAATTATTACGAGAGATTATTATTTTACAATTATTTGAACGAGATCGTTATGTAAACTATTATATTTTAATTAAACGTATTCTTTAATAATTATTAAAGAAAATTGAATAAATTTGTAAAACATGCAAGAATAAAATTATATTGATTATCTTTTAAGTTCTATCACAAGTTTTGCTTCTGTAATATCAACTTACCGGAAACTTTTAACTGGTTCGATGCACTTGTATTTTTCTATTGACAGAAATTCGAGAAAAATATTTGTTGTCACTATCACAAATACAAGAAAATTTGATAAATTTATACTTAAAAGAGATTATTATAAGAAAAAATGATATAAAATGAACATTTTTACATTATAAAGCGTCAAATAATTGTCAGATTTAATGCTTGTTTTCGTAAGGTGAATGCTTATGTAAATGTGTAATTTGTTTTAATAACTCGTCAAAATTCAAATATTGTTTAAATACAGTAAATTTTTGATATACATATAGTGAATAAGTTTATTGGTTTATGCTATTTCTTTATGTATTAATATATAGTATTAATATATTTTTCTACAAACTATATTTAAAGATTCCTCATTGAAGAAAAATGTGAGTATGATAGTAAATAAATTTTTAAAAACTGTATAAAAGGTATAAAAATTAACTTCATTTTCTTTAATTAAAGAAAACAAATTTTACATCTTATGCCAGTGATATAAATACACTGGCGTAACGGTAGATACTGCTTATACATATGTAATATTTTTTTATAAATTTACTGATTGTTATGTAGTGTGTGGGATATACACTAAATTACTACTTTTAATAAAAACAATCGAATATCTTAAATAAAAATATGAATGTTTACAAGATTATGTATGAAAACTTGCTTGACTGTAGTGTTTAGTTTCAAGCAGGCAAGTAATTTCTAAAACTAATGTCAACACTTTTTTCACTGTAGATAAGTACTGTACACTAAGTATTGGCTTCTACACGTCGAATAGACTATCATTTGCTATGTTCTCCGCTTAAAATATTAATATTATTATAATAAATAAAAGATACATTTATATTTTTTATGAATTAATATGTTATAATAGGAGTCAGTAAGCTAAATTTCATTTTTTAAATAAAATAATTTCTTAGAACAAATATGACATAGGCAAATAACTTGAATATATTTATTATTGTAAATAATAATCCTTTTAGTCTCTGATCATATTTAGAATATATTTGATAATCAAAACATTTTAAACTAAAGTTGATATGAGTTTAAAGGATTCAACAATATATGATTTGATGAAATTTCAATTGAATTAATAAGTATTAAGCTTACTTATTGTATAGTTTAATTCTTATTAATTTAATTTAAGATTTTAGAAAGTCGTAAATGTAAATTATAACACAACTATTATATTATATCTGACAGTTATACATTATAATTCAAATATAGGTTAGTAAATTTGAGAGTTTTAAGAATTCATCAATCTCTAGGGAAATTAAAATATCAGAAAAGATGAATTAATGTTTAAACAATCTGTTTACATTATAATTCTTGAAGCAGAATTCAGAAATTAGTACTTTTTGACATGAGATAAGCAGTGTGTAGTCTACAAGTTAAAATTTCATGAATTCTGTCGTATACTATTTTTATATTGTTTTGGCAGATATTACAGAAGAAGTTTTATTTATGATTTATTGAATAATTTATTCTTAAATCTATTATTATTATTATTAAATTGAATTTATTAAGTTTATATCAAATCTGTTGTCTTCACAATTAGGTAATATTTCTGAAGAGAATAGATTTGATATAAAACTAATTAAATAATAAAGTAATTAGTGAATTCACTAGGGTTAATGGAAGTACAAACCTCATCAGCTGACCCCATCAGAAGGAATGACACAAGAATGACTAATTTTCGTGCAGTGTTTCATCAAAAATTTATTATTTAAAAAAAAAAAAATATATTCTTGTAGTCAAAATAATGCTATCCGAACCGGTTAACCTAGTTAATAAAGAATTGAATTTTATAACATTTATTTCTTAAAAGTATGGAAAGGTTATATAAAAATTATTAATTACTTTTATTCATTTTTTCTGCTTATTTTATCGTGTATATTGTATTTATTTCTTTTACACGTACATGGAAATGCCATTGGGCAAAAGATTTCCAACCCCAAATAATAGATTTTTACTTGGTATTAAATTTTGGAGAATTTGTATATAGTTTTTTTTTTTTTAATATAATGATTTTATACAGACAAAATATATTATAGATAATGACGATTTTAAATTATAAAGTTAGGGTAATTATTTATAAAGATTAAAATTACCCTAAACACTATAAGACTCTGTAATATGTTAGCTTTATTTGGCTGCAATTTGAATAAATTATAGACCGTCCGTCGTCCGTCTGTCTTTCCTTACTCTTGAGGATGGTGTTAGACAAATGAAATTCAAGAGCATATATGGAAAATTAAGAGCAGGAGGTCCCGATTAATTATATACAATTATTTTTATTTTTATTAATTATTTCAATTCAAAAATCCCCCCCCCGAATAGAGTTACATAAATGACTTGCATGACTCCGTTGTTAACAGGAAAAATATGATATACAGGGGCATAAATTTAACTTAGATCCGAACTTTCCAATCGATTTTCATTATTGAAAATTCTGATATATTTATATTAAAAAATTTCGAATGAAAATAAGGATTTTTGTATGTAACTGTTCATAAGTAGCAATAAAGAAAAAGTTACAAAAATTTTATATTGATTTTGATAAATGAAAGGAAAGGAAATTGTAACGTCGAGTGTAATTTTGTGGATAAATCAGTACTGCATTTGACTGGGTGGCATTTCAAGTATGCAGTTAATAATATATTAGCAGAAGAAAATCGTGTAGCAGGAAGGAGGAAGAAAAAAAATTTGAAAAATTTTTGTATTGTAATCATTCGAGCGTATTATTACATTTTTTTACGTTTATCGATTTATTTTTAAAACAATAATGATAATAAAAATAAATTATAAAATTACAAAATAAATAAATTAGATTTTATTGAAAAAAAATAAATTTTTTTAATACTGTATGAACAATTTTTCCAATTTGTTTTAAAGGATATTCATCAAATTCTTAAAAAAAAAAAAAAGAAAATAGTAATGTAATTATAATTTACTTTAAAATAACTTCAGTTTCAACATCATTAATTAAATAATCAATAAATTTTATGCAAAGAACAGTACGTTAGAGTTATACGTATAATCAATTAACAAGAATTTAATTTAAATAAAGAAAATGAATACATAACAAATAAGAAAGAGATAATCCTTTTAACTAAACACAAAGACAGGATAATTCTAACAGAATTTTAAAATAAGAAAAAAAAATTAAAAACATTTTAATTTATTCAAGAAAATCCCAATCTATTTTAAATTTTTATTGTAAAACAAATTTCATTGAATGAAAAAAAAATCAGGGAGAGGGGGGAAGGTTCTTTAGTATACCGGATGTAGATTTTGAGATGCAAATTATTTACAAGGAACAATAAACCACTATAAAAAAGTGTTTTTTTTTCTTTTTAACTTGTATTTCCCTGTTCTCCGAATACTTTTATCAAGTTTAGAACCTCGCCGCAGTGACCCTGTCAAGTTTGACAATTAAACTTGTTACAACGGGTGACGTCATAAGCGGATTTTGAAAACTGTCAAGAAACGAAAAGAAAAGGAAACTAAATTCATTTCGTAACAAGGACATCTACTTGTAGTACATTTTACTCGAAAGGTTTTCACACAATTTATACTACTTTTTCTTTTTTTTTTACTTGAGTTTTATCAAAATATTTACTTGATAATCGAAAATAAACGACTTCTAAAAGAGATATTATAGTTTAAATTTGTATTATAAATTATTTTATTTAATAAAAATGTATATATTTATTTGAAATAAACCACAATAAAGTATTACATATCTGTAGATAATTTAATTAACTTTAGAGGTTTGTATTTTGATTACAGTTTATCTATTCCTCTCTATTAATGGATATGTCTATATTCTTGTGTACAATTTACAGAGGTTTTACTGATTTAGAGTAACCATAACCCTCTCTAACTGCACTCAACTTTAAATTGAGTAAATTAGGAAGGGAAGGTACAAGTGGAATCACTTGTATTGAAACTAACAAGATTTTAAACATTCTATATTATTATATATTTTAATTATAAAATTAAAACAATCTTTTTATAATTATAAGCTTTAATATATTGAGTGTTTATATATCAACAGTAAAAATAATATACGAAATTGAAACTTGATATAAGAAACGATAGGTAAGTAAATATTTGAGAAAAATGATTATATTGCTTTTATACTGATTCGATCAATTTTAAACATATCTTTACCTAAAATATTGTTTAACTTTATAATGCTTATAACTATTTGATTGCGTTATAATCATTTTTAATCTCTTGTAAACCATTGTTAATCAATGATAACATGAATTTAAAATGATCTACTGTATGTATCAATATAATGAGGTACTATTCTGAGAAAAGGATAACTGTTGTTTGATCCTACCATTCAAGTTCTTTTTTTTTCTAATATAAAAATAGAAGATAAGAAATCTTTCTTGCACAGTATAAAAGAATGAAAAATATATTTAAAAAAGGAATTATTTATATAAAAGAAACTCACGTTCTTATTTTTTTTTAAGTGTATAAGCTTTTGTTTGCTGCAATTCTTTTTTTTATCGTGTGCCAACTTCAATACACATTTTTTAAACAGAAAATGAACCTTTTTTCCATGAAAATTGCTCTGAAAGAGTCTAGTTATTGATAATTGTGTTACTACAGTTGGCATTCAGTCCCTCATTATATTTACGGGGCTCAAAAATATTTGTTATAAATTATTTATTCCTTGGGTTTACTNGTAATATATAGGCCTATAATATATTAAAAACACCCCCAAAAAAGTAAAATTTGAGTCATCCAAATCATTCAATTTTATTTTTTTGGGGTAGGACGAATGGAGTGTAAAATTGGGGAGAAATTGAAGTTTTTAATCACTTGATTTAAATAAAGAGACAGTTCACAACCCGGCACACGTATTTGTAAAATCTAAGTGACTCGTACAACATGGAATTCATATAAAACGGAATTATCAACAGTGTTATAGGGAGATCGACTTGTATACTTTTTACACTTTCAATTACCTATTATATTGTTACTTATTTAATATTTGATACGAAAAATTCAATCGAATAATTAATTTTTTTTATAAAGTT